ACACACACACACACACACACACACACACACGTACACACACACACACACACACACACACATCTACTTGCTTATCACACGCACACGATTACACATCGTCACGAAAGATGAGTTGAACAACATGCGACAACCCCAGCCTCAGACACTTCCTCAACTTGAGAGAGCTTCGCATGAAGAATGGAATAGCATCCCTCAAAAGGCAGTGCAGCGATTAATTGATTCGAGGCGGCGACGATGTCAGGCTGTCATCAACGCTACTGATCGTGTTACTTTTGTAGACCACCCCCACACTCTTGTAAGTCGTGAATCAACCTGTTATGTTAACATTCCGTAATGTTGTTGTTGTTTTTTTCGTTTTTAAAATTGATTGAATTCGTATTCCTGAAATTTTAAAGAATATCGACTCGTTGTGAAACTAGCTATTTTCATTTTAACTCAGTGTATACTTAAAAATGTGACAGACTATATTATGGTCGCTTTTAAGCACAAGGGGGTTTTCCCGAAAAATGTTTATTTGAGAAAACCGAAGGTGAAGTTTCTGCCCCTTAATCAGTTTCTTTAAAAGACAAGGAGAGTTTTCTCAATAGCCAAACAAAAATACACACCAATGAAATCAAATTTCTCCTACAGGTAGGGCAATTCCCATTTTTGGCGTAGGTCAAGATTTATGGAAACCCCCGAAATCTGGGTTAGCCCGTTAGTCTTTACAAGTATTAAAAGCGACCATATTATTTTTTGTTGAACTAGTCCTAGACGGCCACCCACTGGCGTTGATCAAAGCGGTTGTCATACGTCTCGTACTCACCAAACATCGGCGTTCGTGTGTTATCGTGCGTTCACACCCACAGATTTCAACAAAAGTTAAGGACCACCTTGACAGACTGCCTGGATTTTAAAAAATCCGAGAAAAAAAGACGGCAAGGCATGTTTCAAAATTTTTTGCTCTGAAAGTGTTAATGGTTTACCAATGCGTACTGCAAAACTTTCTAAAGGGGCAAAACCACCACGTGCTGCATGGAAATCCTCGAGGAATTTTAGCCACTTTTGCTGTTTTTATCGACTTGTGTGCGACCCCAGGGACATTCCTCAGTTAAAATTTCTAGGGCACGTCATAAACGGACGTACGGTCTCGAACTGTGCTCTCTTTGGTGGCAATATAAGCCGCCGTTTGCTCAAAATCCAGTATCGCATCAACATACCACCAAGACGAAAGCTGAGAGACTTGGATGGTGCCAGAGCTATGGCTTGGCTGCAGGATGGAGTTGGAGCCGCAAAATTGCCAGAGGGCTTGCAGTGTAACACTCTGTCATAGTCCGCCTGAGGCAGCGCTATCAGGCCACTGGATCCATCCAAGAACGCCCACATGCAGGTCGACCCAAGAAGACCAATCAGAGTGTTTGCAAGTGGTCTTTAACTTTTGTTGTTGAAGCCAGTATCTTCCGTCTATTCGTGCGTTATTGTACGTATTTTTATATCAATTGCGGTTGTACTTCGCCTCGAGGTTATCGGACTCAGTGAGTCAAAACTCGGTCACAACTCACAACACGAGAGCAGATGGATGGCATTTTCTTTTTTTTTTTGCTTGTTTGTTTTTTGTTTTGTTTTTTTAAGTAAGTTTTTACGATGCTCGCAACTGCATAAGGTCATATGAGCGCGCGGGACACACCAAACATTTTCAGTTGGTAGGACATTTTGAATTTTGCCCGGGTGGCGGCCGAAGCCTTCTCTTATCGATTTTAGACCACCAAGGGATCTTTAACGTGCCCAACTTGCATCCGGGCCCTCCGAGATTTTTCACCCTTGTCCGAGAAGGCTAGATGTAGATCTTTCCTACCAGAAGATCAGGGGTGAGGCAGAAAGACAGCAGTAAGAAGGAGCAAAGGAGTAGCAGTAGAAAGGCTGCAGAAAGAGTCAGGAGCCCAGAGGAGTGGGCAAAGGAGATGAGGGGGGGGGGGGGCAGAAAGTGGAAATGAAAACAGACAACAGAACATTGCTAGAGAGCAGGAAAGGAGGTGAAAGGAGACAATTTTAGAGACGTAAATTTTTCGGTCGCTACCCGGATTCGAACCCGGGACCTTTGAATGAGAGGCCAACACCTTAACCTGTAGGCCACGAGAGCCCCCGGCAGTAGGATATGAGAGGCAGCGTGTTGAAGTCAGACACCCGTCCCAATAATGAACGTGAAGAAAAAGCATTTTTCCACTGGCTTGGAAACTATTATCCAGTTTAGTTTTTTGGCTCAACGTCTTTTATGTCCATCAAGAAACACCTATCGGTGAGGATTTTTACGGAAAAACGTTGATTAAAGGCAACAGAAAAAAAACGAACTTTGAATTTCCAAGTACTCTCGAGTTATGGAAGTTACTAAAGTTTGGCAGCCATTTTCTCGCTAATTTTCATTCTGAAGTAATCCGACTTCTATTCAACATAGATATATATTTTATATTTTTCCCCCAAAAGGAAGGCAAATGAACAACCTTAAAGATGACACCAATGACCCCATATGCCCTAAAATTGACGAGCACCTGATTCCCAGACACCGACAAATAAAATGAGAGAGTGGTGGATCGGAAGTGGCAGTTTGTACAGATGGTTGACATGGGCAGATGGCCGTTAGAGCAGGCTCGGTTGTATTTGGATAAGCAAACACCTGAACAGATTATCATCATCATCATCATCATCATCATCATCATCATCATCATCATCATCATCATCATCATCATCATCATCATCATCATCATCATCATCATCAAATATCTTTGGCAGACATCGGCGATCATGATTCTCCATTCATTCCTTTGTTCGGATGCTCTCGTAAAAGCTGCATTATTATCCTGATCTTTCCCTATCACCCATCTGTTTTAGGCTTTCCAAATTAGTCGCTCTGGGTCTACCTCTGCCTCGTTTGTCGTAAGTCCCCCCCCCCCCCCA